CGCCTCACCTGCGGGAGGCCCCGGCAAATGGAGGGGGAGTGGAGGGGTGGGGTCGGTGTGTGTGTGTATCGATGTGTTTCAACCGATAAATTGCGTCGCCTCCTGATGTTTAATATTGCTGCTGTCTTCCCCCCTCCCTTATAAACCCCCCTCCCTGTCAACCCCTCCCCACAGACGCAAGATGCCCAGCAGCGGCTATCTGTCCGCCGACATGGCGGAGGGCAGTACGGGGGCGGCCATGGCGGCGGCGGGAATACACATGCCGCAAGGTGGGGGCGGGGGTAATGGGGTGGGGGGGAAGGAGGGGGGTTCGCTCTTCATGTGCGGTCAAGGAGGGGATTCAGAGGGGCGTCTGACCCCGTGTACGTGGGGGAAAGGGGGGGAGAGCGGGGGGTTTTTCATTCCTTCCTCCCTTACCGGCACCCGCTCCCCTTTTCCCTTCTGGTAGCTGTTTGCATGGGTTTCGGATCATTACCACTGGGTTACTTTGCTCTCTCTCTCCCTCTCCCTTTCTCTCTCCCTTCGTCCTTCGCCCTCAGTCACTGTTTCTTGGCGCCCGAACTGTTCCCATCGGCTACTTACACACCGGCGATCGCGGGGCCCCTGGCCGCTCCTACCCCCCCCTTCCCTTCCCCCACCATACGCCATTGCCGCCCCACTGTCCTTTCCCGTCCCTCCCCCAGTCTTTCCTTGGCAGCAACTTCACTCGCTCATGTTTCGTCTTTTCCCCCCTCCTCCCCTCTCCCCGGCACACACTCCCCCCCCCCCGCAACCCCTGCAGGCGGCACCTTCGGCGGCCCAACGGCAGCAGTCGGAGGAGGCAGTGCAGCCGCAGCCGCTGCAGGTGGCGGCGGGGGCGGCGGCGGGGCCGGCGGCGGTGCCCCCCAGCAGCGGCTAGTGGCTGAGCGGCGGTGGCGGCTGGGGGTTCATGCCCGGGGCCACCCCTCGGCCCTGATGGCGGAGCTGTACCGGGTGCTGCAGGTGGGTCTGTATGTGTGTGGGGGGGGGAGGAGGGGGGAGGGAGCGGAGATGGTCGTGAAACGAAAACACACACGCTAGCCGGCGTGGGGGGGCCCCCCACGGGGTGGAACAACCCCCCGGGTGCGACGGAAAAGGAGCGCTGTTCGCAAACCCGTGTGTCTTCTCCCCCGCCCCCGCCGTACCCCTACCCCTACCCCTACCCCTACCCCTACCCCTACCCCTACCCCTACCCCTAGCCCTAGCCCTAGCCCTAGCCCTAGCCCTAGCCCTAGCCCTAGCCCTAGCCGGCAGTTCATTTCTGGTTTGATGATTTCCCCTGCCGCCCTAGCCAGCCAGCCCCGGCACCTAGCTGGCCTCCGCATGACGCTGCCCCGCTGCCCGCCTGCAACCTCCTCCGCTACCGACCCAGCTGAACCAGGTGGCCTGGAAGAAGGTGGCGCCGTACGCGCTCAAATGTCGTGCACTGGTGCGCAAGCCCCCCGCCTGTCAATCGACCCATGGGTCATCGGGGGGTGCGGCGGGTGTGGGGCGCATGAGTGAGGACCTGGACGACCACATCGAGCTGGATGGTGAGGAGGAGGACAGAAGGGGGGGGGTAGCGGGGGGGGGGGGGGTAAGAG